AGTTTGGCAGTAACTGTTAAATTCAAATTGTGTTCAGCAAAATATTTTTTTTGAAATTTGTCCTGTAGACATATGCAAGAAAAAATAAATAAATTTGAGGCTATACACCAAAGCATTCTTTATGCACCCAAAGATGAAATAATCTAAAAATTCATCAACAGAAGATGTATTGAATGAAATATATCTGCACAGTGGAATATACTATACAGCCCTATAAAAAGAACTGGGTCACTATGGGTTGCAATGGACTCATTTCCAAATATGCTGATGTTCCAACTGATGGATAGAGCAGTAGTTATAAAGTAACTTTCAGTTGTGCTTTCTTTTATTAAATAGAGGAATGCGCGCACACACATGCTATGAATGGATGTGCAGAGAATATTTTGGGAAGAATATGCCAGGAATTGCAAAAAAATATTTTTCATTTTCAATGCAAAAAACATTTTCATTGTGGTATCTGGTCAAGGTGAAAGAAATTGTTATGGTTTGTATTTGAGATGACCCAGAAAAGTTCATGTGTAAGACAGTGCAAGAAGGTTCAGAGGAGAAATGACTGGGTTGTGAGAGCCTTAACCCAACCAGTGAATGAACCCCTGATGGGATTAACTGGGTGGTGGCTGGAAGAGGTGGGTGTGGCTGGAGGAGGGGGTATTGGGGGCATGGCTTTGGGGTCTCTATTTGTCTCTGGAGAGTGGAGTCTCTCTCTGCTTCCTGATCACCATGTGAGCTGCTTCCCTCCACCACACTCTTCCTCCATGATGTCCTGTCTCCCCTCGAGTCCTGAGGAGTGGAGTCTGCTGCCTAGGGACTGAGAGACACTGTGAGCCTTCAAATAAACTTTTCCTCCTCTAAAACTGTTCTAGTTGGGTCCTTTAGTGACAGCAGCGAAGAAGCTGACCAAAACAGGGATCATTAGTTTCCACTAGTATCCATTTTTATTATTTTTAAACCATCTGCATGGATTATTTCTTCAATTAAAATAGTTAGCAAAGAAGAAACAGACTAAAAATGGTTGAATGGACCACTTGGATTTGCAATGTGGTTCTGCTGCTACCACTTGATAGAATCAGCACACAGAAGCACTCTCCCATAGGGTCCCCAGAGTAACCTCACCTAAAAAGAGACAGCAATGCCACACAGGTGGCACACGCCTGTCATCCCAGCAGCTCTGGAGGCTGAGGCAGAGGCTGAGGCAGGAGGATTGTAAGTTCAAAGCCAGCCTCAGCCAAAGCGAGGCCCTAAGGAACTCAGTGAGACCCTGTCTCTAAATAAAATACAAAATAGGGCTGGGGATGGGGCTCAGTGGTTGGGTGTCCCTGAGTTCAATCCCTAGTACCCCACCCCTCAAAAAAAAAAGACAGCACTGCTGTCTCCCCACGGAGCTTTCTCAGTCCAGAGGGGTCAGCTCTCCCTCCCAGTGTCACTGGCGATCAGTCCAGTGGAGGATGTGGGCAGAGGGCTGCCGTGGTGCCCAAGGTCCATGGCGGTGAGGACTGGCATTTGCTCAGAGAGATCGTGTGTGGCTTTGGAAGGCCTGGGAGGTGGGGAAGAGTTTTTCAGGCAGAGGGCCAGCCCCTGGGGAGGAGAAGCACTTGGCTCATCTGAGCACCTGTCCAGGTGCCGGTGGCAGAGGGTGCCCAGCCAGCAGGAGGAGGCAGGCAGGCCAGCCCCATGAAGATGGTGGAAGTTTCTTAGGCATGAAGCAAGTGTCAGTCATCCAGGAACGAGTGGCCGTGTGGTCTGGGGCAAGCAGAGCCTAGGGCTTCCCCACTGTAGAGCGTCAGTGTGGCGTAGGGAAGGTCCCCTGGAGTTGAGCTGCCTCCATTCCTCGTCAGCTACTTAACCCCTAGGTCCTGTGCTTCTCTGCACCAGTGAGACCAGGGAGAAGTCCCTGCCTCGGTGGGCACACTTGTGAAGGGTCCCTGAGGGGCTGAGCCTGGCCTGTGGGGCGTGGAGGATGCACAGGCCCCTCCCTGAACTGGGGGCTCAGGGGGCCCCTCGCCTCCCACGGGGGAATCAGTTCTCCCATCTATACTACAAAGAATTTGAAGAACTCCTGGCTTTAAGCTCTCCTGAGAGGAAATGATGGAGAATCAGGAAAGTGCCTGTATCACCTGTATTGCTGCATTTATAGACCATTTCCTGGGCACCCTGTGTTCTGTGCAGCCCATCCGGGGACCCAAGGGGAGTCTCCCTGTACTGGCCAGTTCCATGCCTCTCTGCCAACACCCATAGGCTGGATCCTGAGAGTCTCGTGATTTTTGATATCTGCCTTCATGAGAAAAGAGAAGGAAAAGACAAAGACTTCTCCCGCTCTGTGTCCCGACGGACAGAAGTGAACACCTGTCACTGCTCAAAGGAAACAGCTAAGCCCTTTCCTTCAGTCCCCTCCTTTCTGGGGAGGGACACTGTTTTTGCTCTTAGCCTTATTTACTTTTTGTTTGGCCTCTGTCTGTGATCTGTGTTTTAGAAATATGATTCCAGGGAAAACCTACAGATGAAAGGAAAGAAAAATCACAGACACAAAGGGAAGGAAAGGAAAGCACAGGAAGTGAGGTCTGGCTGGTCCCGCCAGGTGTGTGTGCCACGTGCATCTGGGGGTGCCCAGGTTTCTCTAGATGATAGACCAGAGACGCAGAGAGGACGCCTTCAGGAGGGATCATGCAGCCAACCAGTATGAATGAACTCTAAATTTTTTCCCCTAAATTTCATATATCGAAGATATGTAACCACCAACATGTCTGTATCTGGAGAGAGGTAATCAAAGCTAAATGAAGCCGGGCACTGTGGTACACGCCTGTAATCCCAGCATCTTGGGAGGCTGAGGCAGGAGGATTGAGAGTTCAAAGCGAGCCTCAGCAATTTAGTGAGGCCCTAAGCAACTCAATGAGACTCTGTCTCTAAAGAAAATAATAAAATATTTTTTTTAAAACCTGGGAATGTGGCTCACTGGTTAAGTGCCCCTGGGTTCAATCCCTAGTGCCAAAAGGGGGGGGGGAAAGCTCAATGAGGTCATAAGGATGGGGTCATAATCTGACAGGATTGGTGACCTATTTATAAAAAGAAAATATGTCCCATCTCCCACACAGGGAGAAGGTGCCCATCTAAAATCCAGAAAAATGAATGCTTCTCAGAAAGAGGAACTTCCTCTTTTTGGGGGGGTGCTGGGGATTGAACCCAGGAGCACTCAACCACTGAGCCACACCCCCAGCCCTGTTTTGTATTTTATTTAGAGACAGGGCCTCACCGAGTTGCTTACAAGCTCGATAAGTTGCTGAGGCTGGCTTTGAACCTTCGATCCTCCTGCCTCAGCCTCCAGAGCTGTTGGGATGACAGACTTGAGCCACTGCACCTGCCCATTCCTGACTCTTGATTTAGGATGCTCTGGATTCCAGAACTGTGAGAGATTACATCTCCCTGGGTCAAGCCATCCAGTCTGTGGTATTTTGTTATGGCAGCCCAATAACAAAATAACAAAGAAAAAAATCATTGAAAGTATAAACAAAGAAACAAATCATTGAAAGTCTCTCTGCTGCACACTGGGTATTGGGTGGAGAACAAAATAGTTTACGTTCCTATTCCCAAGGAGCTTTTAGAATTCACTGGGGGAGACAGAGACCAAGATTTCTGGGTTCTCCCTTTCTGTCTCATCTGGAGAAGGTGGGCAGAGGGATGCTGTGGTGCAGACGGCAGTCAGGAGAGGGCTCCCCAGAGACTGGCATGGACTCAGGGAAGGCATCTATGCCTCTGGAAGACTCGGAAGAAGCCGTGTGGGGTGATGGAACAAATTAAGCCAGCAAGTGACAAATCCATCATCCGAAAGTACGAGTGGCTACTCGGTGCAGATCAAAAGCTGGGATGCAAAGAGAGGTGTCTCTAGGACCCTAGTGGTTCCCAAGCGGGTTGGTACCACCCCTGGGGATGTTTCAGAACATTGGAGGACAGTTTGGTTGACAAAATAAATGGGCCTGGCATTGAATGGGTGGGGCCTGTTCAACATTTAGGGAAGGGTGAGATGCTCCTCTGGAAGGAGGAGCTGTCCTGTGTCCCACCTGACTTTTGAATAGTGCCATCAGATATGAACAGGGATGGAAAAATCTGCTTACAAGAAACTCAATCTACATTCTGCCTCCGACACTTCAAATCAAAGCGTGTTTGGCACTTTTCCAGCGAAATGAAGGACATTTTGCCTGGAGTTGCTCACCACTGCAGTCAATCAGCTTACTGGTGCTCAGCACCACTCCACAGTGGGCTTGGTAGCTGTCACCTTCATGGTGACTCTCCAGGTGGGGTCAAGCAAACTACTGCTTCTTAAGGACTAGAGTATTTTCATTTTTTTTTTGAGTGCTGGGAATTAAACCCAGGGGCTCTTGGCCACTGAGCCCCATCCCCAGCCCTTTTCTTATTTTATTTAGAGCCAGGCTCTCACTGAGCTGCTTAGTGCCTCACTAAGTTGCTGAGGCTGGTTTTGAACTTGCAATCCTCCTGCCTCAGCCTCCTGAGCCACTGGGATTACAGGTGTATGCACCACACCTGGCTTCATTTTGAATTTTTGTTGACTACTAATTTGTCCCCCCTTCCCCCCGTTTTTATGCCATTATGTTAATGTTAACATTGTTAAATGAGTATATAGCTATAATCTGAGAATTGTATATGATGATAGTCAAGGGCATGCCAAATTTTTGCTTATAAAGGGTGTCTGGGCCCAATGATGTTGAGAATCCCTTCTTTATCTTCTCTAATGCACCCTCTTGTTAGTTCAGGTTTATAGAGGAGAACCACCTGAGGTTCAGAGAGGTTGAGGGACCTGCCCAAGGTCACACAGCTCATGTAGAGTAGAGGCTAGGATTTTCAACCCCAAAGCTGGGCCTCTCAGAACTTGGCAGTGCTGCTTCTTGGCAACCTGTGTGTTGGATACACCGCCGGAACGCCCATTCTGTGGAGCTCTTTTGGATACCTCTTATGACAGGGAGCACTTACCCGCCCGAGCTCCTTGTCCTCCAAGGCCAGGACACCTGTGCTCTCTGTGAACAGCTTCACCTTCACCGCGGGCAGTGCGTGGGTCGTGGAGAAGTCACCCTGGGTGCCCCAGCTGTGGACAAAGAATCAGAGAGGTCAGTGTGGAATCTTCCTTCTTTCCTTAGGGTGAGTGAATGCAGGATGGCCGTCACACCCTCCTGCCATCCTCCCCAAAGCTACCAGAGAGACAAAGCATTAGTTAACTTATTAGGCAAAGGCAAAGACAGATGCTCAGAAACTCTCCAGGGTCTTCACAGAGCACGGTAAGGAATTGCTTGGAATGAGCATGAAATCAAGTTGGTGAGAACTTTCCCCCATGTATTTGCTACAGCTACACTTTATTCCAGGGCATCTATTAAAAATTTCTTTCATATTCTGGATCTCTAGTCCTTGGAAACTAAAGTTTTTAATTTTGAGATGGGGCTTCACTTTAGCTAAAGTCTCATTGTAAATGAGACTTTGGGGTTGAGGGAGCCCCATTTCCACTGGCACTTGGAGATGAGTTTAAAAAAGAAACAAGTGACTGGGTATGGTGACACAGCCTGTAATTCCAGTGACTCTGGAGGCTGAGGCAGAAGTAGCACAGGTTAGAGGCCAGCCTCAGCCATGTAATGAGACTCTATCTTAAAATAAAAAATAAGAAGGACTTGGGATTTAGTTCAGTGGTAGAGCACCCCTGGGTTCTATCCCGAGTAGCACCCCCCACCCCCCCAAATAGAATGAATGGAGATCTATCCTGTTAACTTGAAAGAGGGATGGAAAGTTCAAGGATAAGAATGTGGAACTGCCAGTCCCTGCTCAGGTGTGTGAGGATCTGCATCTCAGCCTGGTTTACCAGGAAATGGGATGGAGTGCAGGGCTTGGCTCCCGTGAGCCTCTGATGGCCCCGCGTAGGTGCCTCTTCATTTTCCCATCATTGTCTGACAGAGAATTCACCTTCACTCATTCTGTACCTGCAGTTAGAGAGACCTTCGGGGAGTGGTAGCTAAAGAGCACTGAGCCCTTGCCCAAAACCCTTCCATGCCTCCCGTGCCGCTGCACGTGGTTTACAATCCAGGCCTGCACTAGGACCTCCCAGTCATCCACTCTATTTTTATGGGCTTCTGATTCTGCTGCCTCAGGCCCATGACATGTGTGGCTCCCTCAGTTGGGAATGTCTCTCTCTACCCTACCCTTCACTTGCCTACCTCTCTGGGGCTCAGCCAACATGCCACCTTGGATGTCTGTGTATCCATCAATCTAAATTGGGTTCCAGATTGAAACTCTTTAGCATACTGTTTCATTTTGAAGCATCAACTCCTTCCTAAGATGTTTCTTTTTTATCTCTGTTAGTAGCTGCAACCTGCTAGTTTGCTTCTGTAATCACACTTGCTCAGCAGCTGTGGAAGGAACCAGAGAAAGGCAGAGGGATCAGGCTCCTTGCATGAGAAAGTGTTGAAACCCGGAAGTCTGTACTGTATAAAAGATACTGGGAACAAAGGGTGGTGCTCACTGGGTGTGGTGTCGCACGCCTGTAATCCCAGCAGCTTGGGAGACTGAGGTAGGAGGATCACAAGTTCAAAGCCAGCCTCAGCAAAAGCAAGGCCCTAAGCAACTCAGTGAGACCCTGTCTCTAAATAAAGTACAAAATAGGGCTGGGGATGGGGCTCAGTGGTTAAGTGCCCCTGAGTTCCATCCCTGGTACCCCTCCCCATAAAAATGGGCGGTGCTCAGCTGAATAAGCCTTGCTCTTCTGCATCTCCAAGGGCCATTTGTCCCTTTCCAGTGCCATGATTTTCTGTAACAGTTTCTCATTTCACATTCTAGCAATCATTGGGTCTGCTTAACTTGTGTGATAGTTTAATAGCAGAACCCGTGCATACTCTGTAAGCTCTATGACTGCAGGGACCATATATGTTTGGTGCATATTGAATACGCAGAACTCAGCACAGTGTCTGACACATAGGAGATGTGATAAATGTTTGCTGAATGAATAAATGATGCAAAATGTATATTCATTTACAGAACTAGGAAAGAGTAGAGCTACATTTTATATGGAACTTTTTTACTTCCCCTCATTACAATAATTTCTATATTGTAAAATATTTATTAAAATATTATTTAAATGACATCATAATATCACACCTATGGATACATTATAGTTTTTTCTTTTAACCCTGGTTCTTTCATTGAAATTCAGTTGGACATTAGCTTTTGATTTTATCACTGATTATTTCCTTGGGATACAGACCTAGAAGGGAGACATCTCTTCATTTACCAACAAACGTTCAGAGCTCTTACGATATTGCAGGAACTGTGTACATCCACAGACACTTCTAAGGCTTATGATACCTATTTCCAAAAACCTTTCCAGGAAAGCAGTTACTATGTTTTCCATATGGGCATGACAGCACTAATCAAAGGGTCTCCTCCTGACCTGCCCTGGCGTCACCCCTTACCTATCTTCTGCCCTGTTTTGTCATTATTATGTTCACGGTATTTCTTTGGCAACTAGTGAGCTTGATATCTTACCCTCTGCTTGTTGGTTGTTTGTATCTCTTCCCGTGTCAACCATGGAAACCTAACTCCTAGTCCCCCTGTTGCACTCCACCAAGTTGATTCCGTTGACTGAACTAAAAGACAGAAAGTGTCTATGGGGAGTCAGCAAGTGAGCCTCAGACTGTGGGGAGCCAGGTGCCCCAATGAGAAACCACAACAGTCACAAGAGCAACAGGGAGCAGACACAGCGGCGGGCCTGAGACTGAAAAGAGAGACAGGTTCCAAGCTCAGCTGCAGAGTGGCTCAAGTACAGACAGAAACTCTTACTGATGGTTTGTCAGCATCTGCAGCACGTCCCTAAGAGAAGGGGACCTCTGTTCTAGCTAAGGTCACATAACAAGGTTTTCAACAGGACATCTTTAGCTCAAACCTTGGCTTAGTTACAATGTAAACTTGGGTATCTGGGACAAGTGAATTAACATTCCTATACTTCAAGTTCCTCAGCTATAAAATAAGCTCAGTTCACAGAGTAGTTGTAAAGGCTCGGAACAAGATGGGAAACCAACAAATTTTGGCTACCTTCTCTTCCCAAACTAACTGTGTGCTCGAATAAAGCAGGGGTCACTTACATTTGTGTCATCTATCTAATACATGTTTGTCCAGCACGTCTTAAGTGTTGGACCCCACGCAAATAAAGCAAGATGGATACTGACATTCCTACTACACAGGTAAATGCAATTACGACAGCTGCCCTACGTCAGGTGAGAATACTAAAGAGAAACGCAAAGTCTGTTTTATTCCAGGGAATCGTGATCGAACTGGAGAAGAAGGCAAATCTCTTAATTCCCAAGTTATAGTTCTTACTGATATTATTGTCATAATTGTCAGTGATAAGCCTTACTAGTGATCAGCAGTATTGATGACAGTGACTATTCGTTTATCATTTGTGATTAATTAGACTATCAATCTCTTTGAGCCTTCATCATGCTGGGTCCTGGGGATGAGAAAACATGCCCCTGGAAGCCAAAAGGATTCTGGAATGAGAAGCTTTACACTATGCCGTACAAGTGACAGAAATCCAGTGTCCCAGGGGACCTGTATCCTCATGATACTGTCTTTGGCCTGGTTTGTAAGGATCTCCTGGCCTGCTGAGCACTTTGCCTGAACCCCTGTTGCCACCCAAGCATGCTCTGCTCCTTAGGCAGGTAAATGTAACGTGACTCAGACTCCAGGGTAATAATGCAAGGTTTCTGAGGTCCTGCTCGCTGGACAGAATTTGAGCCACCGGAAGTTACCTGACAGCCCCCTGAGACCTGACACCAAGTCACTTTTCCTTTCCACCAGGTCTGCAGTCATACTTTTGTCTTTCTGCCATGAGCCTTGGTTCACCCCGAATTATCTATCAGACTTAGACATAGTGAGCTGGCCCAGGGAAGCCGACATAAGGAGACCCTCTAGCCTAATCAGGACAGGCTATGTAATCTTTGGGGCCCGGTGCAAAGTAAAAACACATGAAAAAAAATGCCAAGAAACGTCCTGACGTACAAAGCCTTTCCTTTTCCTCCACTCAAACGCATGCTTTATTATCACTGGATGTTACTTATGAACATAGCTTCAAAGATACCATTAGCAAGAACTGCAATGTGGAAAAAAAAAAAAAAGATTTGCAAGATGGCATCAAATCAGATGTGTGTCCCTGATAACTAGTGCAGCTGTATGGTCGCATACCCATAAACCCAGCTCTGAGCCAGATGCCACCCCAGGCTGGTTAGCCTGGACCAATATTGGCCATGAAATTGGAAATTGTTTGCTCCTAGCTGGTCATTGGCTTCTGTGGAAGCCATTTCTGGCTCTTTTGTGTCAATGATTCTTGGAAGAATCTGCCAGGCTTAATCATCCTTTCCTGTCCCTCTTCCTTTAGAGGGAAAAAGTCAGAAAAATGTCCATTCTTTGTCTTTTCTAGCCACAGAGAGAACCGGATTTCTTTTTTCTTTTTAAATAATAAGCCAGCAAGGATCTTATTCAGATTATTGTGTGCAAGGCACAGATACCTATCTCTAGTGTCCACAATCATGGGTACATTACATCTTTTGCAACCCTCTTAGCAGTCTGTGAGACGTCCACAATTATATCCCCACAGTTATAGATGAGGAAACCAAGACTCACAGAGTCTAGGGAGTGTGCCCCAGGTCACACACAGGGAGTGAATGGTAGCCTGATTTCACGTTCTGAGACTGTCACCACACTACCACCCTAGGTACTTTTTGTCTTTGCAGTGAACATAAATGATCTCTGAAACTCGAAGGGCAGTTTCTGTTTCAAGATTGGCGGGACTCGGGGCCACTCTGACTTCTAACTGTGGATTTATTTCCCATGTTCAATACACCTTACAGAGTGCAACATTGGTGGTAGACAAATTAGCCAGGGGAGGAAGCATCAGAAACCTTGGTCTTTTGGTGGGGCCACACGTAGATTTCTCAATGCTGCTTTTTTCTCTGCCCATCTCTTTCCTCTTGCTCTAGTCATGAAAATGAATTTCTCTCTTAGTGAAAATTTTCCAGGATTGGAAGACAATTGCATTTTGTTTTTTTTTTTTTTTTGGTACCAGGGATTAATC